CATCATCTGCATAACAATGAATAGAAACACCATGTTTTCTAAAAACACAACCAAGAGGAAGTAAATATAAAGAGAAAAGCAGGGGCCCCAAAACTGAGCCCTGCGTAACCTCAGATACCAATGGGGTAGATGAGGGCTCAATATCAGCAAACCCAACAGACATCGTCCTATCCGACAAATAAGACCTGAACCACTCTAAGGCAGTACCACAGATGCCCACTAACTCCTTAAATTGAGATATTAGGATATCATGGTCAACTGTGTCAAAAGCAGCGGTCAGATCCAGTAAAACAAGAATCACATAGCCACCAGCATTTGTTGCCAGGTAAATATCGTTAAAAACCTTTTAACAATGCTGACTCTGTACTATGCCGCATTTTAAAACCAGATTGAAAAACATCCAATACATTATGCTCATCTAAAAAAGACTTCAGTTGTATATAAACCACTTTCTCTAGTACTTTCGAAATAAAAGACAACTTGGAAATAGGCCTGTAATTATTGAACGATCAAGACCTGACTTCTTGAGCAAAGGTTGCACAACTGCATGTTTACAATGCAAAACTTCAACCCGCATAACCTCTCAGGCTGACATGGATGGGTCTGCTTTGCTTTTCCACTGTATTTTCTCTCTGCTGGGTCTTTGTTTAGAGGAGCGAGGGTCTGTACACAGTCAGCTGGGCAGAGGGAGAACAGATGTGAAAGATCACTCCACAGTGCAACAATCAGCCTGTAGTGGAATCTGTATGAGCAGTTTATCAAATAACTGTTGAACAAGCATAACACAGACTTGCAGAAATGTGACGTCTTCACCACTTTGCCTGCAGTTCATCATTGAAGTGTTCATTTTATGTCTAAACCAGTATAAGTGCCTCTTTACATACTGTGTTTGTAATGGTAATGACTGAGGTGTGAAGTGCGGACATTTAACCAATCATGGGCAACTGCTCTGCGTGCCCCTCCCCCATTCCTGAAAATTCATTTTAGTACTCTCTCCTGAGGAGTGCCAAAATTTAGTTCCCAAAATGCACCTCCAAGCAGGTACACGGCAGTGGAAACAAAGACAGAACTGGTGATGAGCATTACTCGGCTTAACACATTTCAGTATGTTTCTTTAATGGAAAAAACCCTTTTGTCTCTTAAAATCTGAGGGAAGACCACATAGAAAGATCAAAATACCTTAATCAAACTTGCAGCAGTTCCACGGCATTCTCCATCAAGTCTAGTTTGTGTGTGGCGCTTAAGTATAACATCTCCCTTGAGTTGAGTCCCGCCAGCTCGATTTAGAGTTCACATCCTTTAGATTGGATGACTGTACCCACAACCATGGCTGTTGCCATCAGTGACATACAGTGCATTTGGTTGTTAGAGGTTTCTGGAGTGAGCTCACTCACAATCATTAATACCTTACCAAGTGAAAAAGACATCACTGTCAATTAGATTTAAGGGCATATTTATTGGTGCAAGTCCATTTATTGTATCCCAGACAGTTTTGCAATGCAACAACCACAACCCCATCTTCTTGGGCACTCCAAAAAATACAATGTTATGACAGTATGACACTTTTAATTCACTTCTGCAGTAAAAAAATCTGTGTATATTTGTCACAATAATAATTTATGTGGAGCCATGATTGCCATTATCTGATTAAAAATGAGTGTGTTAAGAAAAACACACAAGATGGAGGCAGTGCGGGAGCTTGTGTTTGCCCTGGAGCTTCTATAAAAGACATGATGAAAATGCAAACTGCACAGTGTGAGCTAAATTTTTAGTGAGATTTTTCTTCCCTGTGGTGACTATGGTTCAGTGGGTAGAGCAGTTGTCTCCCAACTGGAGGGTTGGAGGTTTGAATCATGGTGCCTGCAGTCCACATGTCAAAGTTTCCTTGGGCAAGACACTGAACCCCCCCATTACCCCCAATGGTTAGAGCCATCGGCTGAGGGGGCGCCACAGCCGGCTGGCCTC